GCATTTACAATTATTAATAATTTACACTATGCCAGGCATTCAGAGAAAGCTGAAAGTTTACCATACAATGCCCATTCTTTATTCAGGTTATTATACCGTATGGTGACATCTGGAATTACTCTTTTATTATTTATATTTGTTTTAATCATCTACTCTGTTCATAATTAACCAAGAATAAAATAATCCTCAAAATTCTGGGGTTAAACTCCTATACAGACATTCCTTGTATAACAACCGAATTCCATTTCTGCAACTAGGTAGTCAGCTGAATTGACCACTAAATGAGGAATTGTATACAGTATGTACATGACAATATTCGGAACAAAGAAATGGTCAAAGGAAACTCCAACTTGATGACTTTGCTTTTATTTGCATGACTTTTAGATGAAGTACTGTAATGTATTAAAGAACATAAAACTACAGTACTATACAGTACAACTAGTAGAAATTACAGTACTGTCTAAATAAGATGCATTGTACAAAAAAGACAATGAGGCTCTATAAATAAAATATTAAAAACTGTACCAAAAGGAATTAAAAACAGGCTATAAGTCACAGTGGTGTGTTGTAAGTCAAAACAGTTTTTAAACAGGCCATTAAATGAAGAATATCTGTATCTGAATCTTAAAACATCTACTAAATTTAAGTTATGAGTTGAGTGGGTAAACTAAGGAACATAGTTGTGTCTTTACTGTATTTCAATGAGAATGGAAAATATAATCTGACCTTTTGAATCTATTTTAGTATTTAACCAAAAGTTGGTGGAATCAAAGTTGGCCCAAATTTCTTTTTTAAATATAATATCTGGTCTCAGTGTTTAGAGTTATGTAGTTGCAAAGTTGATACAATGATTAGTGCACTCTCAAAACTAACTTACAATATCCATCTCTTTAACGTTGAAAAGAGCTAGGAGTATTTAGTACATTCCAGATATTGTACTAAGTGATTTGCATAAATCTTTTAACTAAACCCTCAGATACATATACATAGTTAAAGAAACATACTCTATTATGAAGGTATTAGAAGTAAAAGCTTAAAAGGAAATGAAAATGCAAAGCAATAGCAAAAATAAGATTTATATAAGTTTACTCAGAAAGCAGCCTTCTCAGAATTTGAGTACCATCAGTCTGAATTCAAATCCTTTCTTCCTGCTGCTTGAGCTTTATCCCTATCATGTAGTCATAGAAGTTCATGTAGAAATTTAAATTCTTCATCTAGAAAGTCAATTTATTATTCAGGGTTTACAATTCTGAAAGAAACTATAGCTTAAAATTTCTCTATTCAGCTAGTATATTGGAAAAGCAGAAAAAAAAAGAGGAAAAGAAGAACTAGAAAGAGTGATCTTCAAATTTTTGCCTGCAAGAGTGTATTCATCGGGATTCTTTTGCTTGCAAATGATGAAAATCCAGCAGAAACTTACTTAAGCAGATGATGATGATTTATTTTTTCATGTAATTTAGCTAGTTGGGGCAATGTGGAATTTAGGTACTCAAATGATGATGAGAGGAAGCCAACTTTGCAAATCTTGATTCTGCTTTTATTGGGGTTCATTCTAGGGAGGACTATCTCATGTGATGGCAACAAATTGTCATGAGCAACTTATTTCAGACTCATATTCCATAATCTTGGAACTGAACCAAAATATCATAATAATGGGGAGTGAGACTAAAGGAGAGGAAAAGTATCAATTGGAGGGTACACTCTCCATCATAAAGTTAGGTGTGCTTACCAAAGGGAATATATATATACATAATTGGAAGATTTATTTAATTTATTGTATTCCTTCCTCTGTAAATTTAATGTGGAAGTTGGAATCTCTCCTTATAGGTTTCAAATAAACTACTTATTAACAAATGCAGAACATAGATGATATTTTTTCCTCTAGCAAACTTACTTTCTTTCAAGTATATTTTTCTTCAATTAACCTATATTACATATATAGAAACCTAGAGAGGTTCTGAATCCTTGCCTTATCATGCCAAACTTTCTTTTTTTAACAGTACTTTTTTTTTCTTAGGTAGGCATCTTTCAGTACCAGATCCTCTCTACATTATGTTCCTCATCCACCCCTTAGGTTGAAGAGTATATTATAAAGGTTTATGGATATTCTAAATAAAACATAGAGACTGATCAAAAAAGAGTTCCAGTAGTGATGAATTGATGGTATTTAGTATAAGTTTCTAAGATCCATAGTACCTGAAACCCCAGTACTTCATTTCAGCAAGTAAATAGATTTGAAATGCTGGTTCTGAGATATGTGATATTCTTCTCTCAGATGCAAGTTAAGTACCTGCACCTTAGTCCAGCCTACTTTAGAGAGGAAGAACTGAGCTATATTTCTCCCAGTGTGATGTAATCAGATAGTTAAATTGGGAATGGGAAAAGCTTGTGTTATACAAATATAAAAGATCTAGATGACTAAATTACATTTATGTAATAAATATTAAAGAAGAGACATTTCTTCTAAGAAAGAAACATATACCCCAAGATATGTTATTTTCTTGATTTAGGAAAGTCAAATCATGTGGTAGTCTGAAAAAAACAGAATAAACTTTGCAGCAAACATATTTTATTTCATTTTTATACAAATCTGTTTTTTGAAAAACCTATCATGCAAAGCTTTCCCTTGCTATACAAGGTAATGTTCTGTCATTGAGAAATTAAATGAGCCAGAATTCAAAAGCAAGAAAATGTGTATACTAGGATTCACTATTATAATTGCTATATGTGATCAACACTCCAAAATTAACAAACTATTGGCTTTTCTGTTTCTGAACTGTGTCTTTTAGCTCAGAACATCCAGTGGATGAAAAGTACATCTTCTGAGTAAGAGAGAATGGACAAATATCATTTTCTTTCCCTTAATGGTTGATGAAAGAAATAAATGTCTATTGAAATGTGACAAAGATAACTTTCAGATCTGGCTGCTTTCCAGACAAGTGCCTTGTACACAGGAATTAGCTTTTCCCTATGAATTTCACTTTGGCTTTCTAGAATAAGCACAGTGCCTTTCCCAGCTCTACATGGTGACCAGTAGATAATTAATTATTGAACTGCACCCTTCAACAGCATGCAAGCCATAACCAGTCCTTTGCTCTGATATGCAAGATGACTAGAGCACTTAAAGTTATAGCCCATTGCCTGAAGATGTCCTCACTATGGCTGAATACTCCACCAACAGCATGATTACCAACATCACATGGAAACCTTGCCAGGGAATACTTGTAGTCAAATAGATAAAATTAATATTTTACACAAATCTTTTACTCTTAAACTTCAATATTAAGATTTTATAAATTAATTCAAGTCTCTTCTGATTTTAAGTGGAATTGGATTGTCTTTGAATGCCCTTGGAGCAAATGTGTCAGAGAACTGGAAAATCTTTCTGGAAATGTGAAAATGTCGCTAATTAAGATGCAGCCTGCATGAGTTAGGAGCACTAGATTTCTTATTTCTGATAAAAAGTGAGTGATCAAATCTCATTCATACAAGCAAACATCTCACATCTTCATTTAAGCATGTTCCTTGGAAATGAAAATGTTTCTTCCTGACACAAAGAACATCTTTATCCATTTTAAGGAAAAGTGAAACTCAAACCAGGAAGATATCCCTGAAGAGACTGGAATCAGTTATTTATTTAATCACAACATTTTGTGTTGTGCACATTCCCAGGAGCAAAGTCCCTGTTGTTGCACTATTGGTGGCCCTGGGGTCCTTAGGCTGTGTTTGTTAATTAAGTTCTGTGACTAAGAAGAGGCTATGTACGGGAGCATTCAGCTCCAGCAGAACTAGAAATTAAAGGCTCAGGTTTGCTCTGATTTTTGACAGTGGTATCTAAAATCCTCCTGCCCAGGCTTACTCCTTTCCATTTCTCCAGTACCCTCACTGGAGAGAAAAAGATCTAGATACCTTTATCTGGATCTGATTAAATAATATTTGCACTTTTGTTAGAAAAGTGGCCCCACATAGGCAATTATTTCATATGTCTTTGAGTTTTACAATTTAATGTGAAATAGTACTCTTTATTTTATTTTTTTCATTAAGTTTATTGGTACATTTTAGGTATACAATATGATGACATTCATCATTGGGAATTTGT